TGGTGTCTAGGGGCAAAGAAAGTGACCATGAGAATATTCATTCTCTGTAGATATTAAAATATTAAATAACCTCTTGGCCTGGCTCTGGTGGTAACTGGTTTTCTACCACATCTAGACCTGGACTAGGATAAAGCAAAATTTAAGGAGGCACTAACCACCTAGGCCCTGGGAATGCAGAGTGTCATCTGACAGGGTGCTACCTCCTTAAGTATTGCAGTCTAGGGGCTTCTGCCTACCTCAGCCCTGCGCTCTCACCTGAGCTCACCTAGGCTTCCTCACACCTCAGTTTCTTCCTTTATCTGAAGTGTTGGAAGTACATTTCTGTGTTCTCAACATGGCAACCCCAGGGATTCTGTTAGTGTCACTCAGATCTTGTTCCCTTGCTGGCCTCCCTCTGCCTTCCCCTTTGAGGTGCTCTCTGACTTCTTTACCACTTCTGTGGTGGCGCCTTGGCTGCCGGACCTTGACCTGTGCTGGTTACTCTGCCTGCACTACCCTTCCCACGTCGCTTATTCCCTTACCTCCTACAGATCCTTAGACAGGTATCGCTTACTGGATGCGAGTGCCCTGAACCCCTCTTTAACTGTGCACCTGTCCATTTCACACATCTGACCCCTTTCTGCTCTGTTTTTTCTCACTGGCACTCACATTTTACGTGTTTTGTTCTCCATTCCTCTAGAAAGAAAGTGGCAGTAGGGGAAGGAATTTTCTCTCTTTTGTTCATGGCTTGTGTGCACAGTGCCTAGATTAAAGGGCTAGTACACATGTCATGGGCCAATGACTGAATGCCTGGGAGAACCATCCCAGACCACATGTGGGCAGCTGATGGCCCCTCCTGACAGTCCCCATGTGACTCCTGACCCTAAGCCAATGCAGAGACCAGGCTCCGATTTGCATGGTAAAATCACAGGACTCCGCAATTAGACACTTCGTCCTCCTTTTTCCTTTGTCTCCTTTGGCTTCAGCTCATCAGAAGACTTTGTCTCTGGAAAACCCACCAAGCCCGGTGCCAGAAAGGTCCGTCCGATCTCCTTGTTATTTCAGCTGTTTTGAAGGTTCTCTAGGAGGATGCTTGGCCACTGGGAGGTCTGTGGGGAGCCAGGGTCAGGTGATGGTGTGGACTTCCAGCACTGGGTTATGCAGACACTGCTCAGCAGATCTTCAGGTTGCCTCATCCCATGCCTGCTGGCTGACAGCCTGCCTGCGGGGTCACTTCTCTGCCTGGGAGGCCAACTTTTAGCATACCTAGGAGCCCTGCTTTATACTAGGTCTCAAGGTATAGATCAGCAAAATAGCACTTGCTTAGCACGCATGAGGGTCCTGGGTTCAATCTCTAGAACCATAACAAACAAAGTGGGAGTTGGAGAGAATGGGAATTGTTGGTAAAGTTGATTGGCAGCTGAAGTTTGCTATGAGAATAGAGGTCCAAGGAGTGTTGATACCAGCTCAGCAGGGATCTCTTATAATCAGCTATGCAGTGATGGGGCCATCCTTATGGGTGTGTTGAGGTAAGTGGCCAGGTACCTTCCACTGCAGTTTGAAAGAAGGAGTGAAGATTCCCCTTTCCCTTCCATTGCTGGGTGGAGAGCTCCTTGCCTGTGCCTGCTCTCCTTTTTTTTTGTGTACGTCTTTGTTATGTGTATGTATCTGTGGGTGCATGTGTGTGTCAAGACCAGAGGTCAATCTCCACTGTCTTTCCTCAGGCACTATCTACCTTGTTTTATGAGACAGGGTCTTTCACTGGCCTGGCACTTGCCAATTTGGCTAGACTGGCTGGCCAGTGATCCCCAAGGATCTGCCTGTCACCACTAAGATTGTAAGTGTGCCCCACCATGCTGGTCTTTTATGTGGGTCCTGGGATTGAACTCAGGTCCTCATGCTTGCCTAGCGAACACTACGGACTGAGCTGTCTTAAGTGCTTTACCAATTGAGCTATCCTCCCAACCCTCCATTCTGAGGGAGAGTCATAAGGAAAAAGTTGGAAAAACAACATCAGATAAAAAGTCCCAGGGCAGCAAGTGGAGCCACTTTCTTTAGAGCAATGAAACTCAAGGTCTCAGCGTGAATCTTAAAATCTGGCCTAGAGTCCACTCTTTGAAGGTCTTTTCCCTTCAGTTAAAAAAGTAAATAAATAAACAAACAGGAAGGGCTTAAATGTCCCCCTGGACATGGCTGTGAAGGGTAATGCAGTAGGGTGCTGACTAAATTAACTTATTTCCATTTTATGAAACTTTTAAGTGCACTGTTAATGGTTCCCTTTGAAAAAAACCTCAAAAGAATGTCTTACCACGGAACTGAAAAGGAAGACAATCCAGTTATCGTCCTACTTTAATTTTAGCTTCTTTATTAAGTGAATTATTTCCCTCAGAATTCTTGTACGTTGGGTCATTAAGAAATGGATTATTGACCAGGAATGAGGCTGCTTTAGGGCTCTAAGCTAAGCAGCTTTAAGAAGAAAATCCTCCTGTGCCTGTTGCTCATGGTCAGAAACCAGTAGAAGGAGGCTGGGAATTAAGCAGTAGGTGAACAAGTATTTGTTAAGTACCTTCCTTGTGCACGAATCTTCCAGAAAGAGAGAAGTCTTTGGGGCTTCAAGATCAACAAATACCACTTGAATCTAATCGAGTTTGCAGTAACTCTCCTTTTGGAAAGTGGAAGGTCTTCCATTTCTGAACAATTGGTTCATGAGCCTCCAGATGGCCAATGCCGTTTTCTTAGACTTCCTTTTATTTTGCTTAAGGACAAATCTGCCCAACTACTTGTTTTTATCGAGCTCTTCTATAATTTATCACTCCAATCACTCCCATCCACTGAGGCTGATGCTGTGTTAGCTGGTAGGAATACACAACTGGAAATAGCATGTGATGGGGTGGTAAGATGGCTCAGCAGGTAAAGGAACTTGCCTCTAAGCCAGATGACCTGAGCCCAATCCCTGGGACCCATATGATGGAAGGAGAGAACTGACTTCTGCAGCTTGTTCCCTGACTTCCACACAAATGTGCCATGGCAATACGCACACAGAGAGACACATAATTAAAAAAATAATAAAACAGAAACAGCATGTGCTATAGCCCCAGCCCTATAGCATCTTTATATATTACAAATTGGTTCTTCATGGTCACTTCTGTGGGTGGATGCTCAGCCGAGACTTTTATTTGCTGTAGAATTTCAGCTCGGTGTCGCCTTTCTAACCTTTGCAAATTTAGGACTTTGAAGTAAACCAGGGTTGATGTGATTTTATTCTCAGCTCTATTTACACCCTGCCGCTGAAAGTCTAGCCCTGTCTTTCGAAACTTAGTCTGATCTATTATTGCTTTCGTGTCTGTCCACTGGAACTGAGTCATCTCGAGTTTGGCTATTCAGTTTCCTTTTTCTCGCATCTCCGAGTTTTGATATTATTATTCTCTGGCATCTTGCTATTCCAGGAGTGAACCAAGGATGAGCATTGTAGATCTCACCTGGGAGCTTGTTCAAAATAAATCTTCCAAAGCCAGATGTGATGGCTCACACCTGAATCTCAGTACTTGGGAGGTAGAAGCAGGAGGAGCAAGGTCATCCTTTGCTATCTATTGAGTTTGAGGCCAACCTGAACTACATGAGACAAATGAAAAATGGAAAAAAAAAACATAATAAAGAAAAATACATATCCCAGGCCTCCAGCCTTACCCGTTGAAAGGCATTGTTTTTTCAGTGTTGAGGGGTTTTGTTTGTTTGTTTTGTTGTTGTTTGGAGGCAGAATCTCTTATAGTCTAGGCTGGTCTTGAACTGGTTATTTAGTGGAGGATGACTTAGAATTTGGAGGATGACCTTGAATTTGGATTTGAATATGTACACCACCATACCTGGTTTATGGGATGCTTGGAATCAGGCATTCTACAAACCGAGCTATATCCTAAGCTCTGAGCCTGCTTTTTAATAAACATAAAGTTCCAGCTAATTCATATGCACATCTGATACCTATTGGTTAAGCTTGCCTTTAGGTGTGTGTGTGTGTGTGTGTGTGTGTGTGTGTGTGTGTGTGTGTGTGTGATAGAGATGGAACCAGAGTTTTGTACATGCTAGATGAATATACCACGATTGAGCTACAACCCCCAGCCCCAGATTTTCTTACTAAAAATGATATGATTAGAATGTACAGGGACATATTTCCATTAATTCTTAGGAACATTTTTCCTAGTATTAATTATGAAAGTTATACACATACAGCAAAACTGAAGGCATTTTACAGAGCAGCCGTACATCCTTCACCTAGATTCTATTATTAGTTTTATTTTCACAATTCCCTTTTCTCTGAGGTTGAAAAAGGGGGAGGTTGTTTGTTTGCTTTAAGACAGTGTCTCATGTGTCCCAAACTGACTTCAAATTGGCTTTTGTAACCATCTGAGGTTGACTTGAACTTCTGCTCCTCCGATCTTCACCTTCCAGGTGCTGGTATTATAGTCATACACCACCACACCTGATTTATGAGGTGCCAGGTATTGAACCCTGGATTTTGTGCATGCTAACAAGAACTCTACCAACTGAACTATATCCCCAACCCCCTAAATTAATTTCTATCAAGAATTTTATATGGAAACACCAGATTATAGTATGACTGTTACAAAGAATTGTGTCTTGGTGGAAGGGTCTTATCTTTTCTTCAAATTCTCGGTGAGTTTGATCACTTGTGGTGGGAGTGGGAAAGCACAGGGGTTTAGCATAGTTATGGGCTGTTCCTCACCCCACCCAGGATGCTAGGCCTCAATGCCCTAATCTGTGTGCATGGATTGAGAGAAGTCATCTCTAATGTTACCTCCAACCCCGTTACTATAGGATCCATTGCAAACATTATTCTTATTGCTATTTTTCAGGTGGAAGGAACTGATGAACTAGTTAAACATTCAAATAAGAAGGAAAACATCTGCTTTAGTGGAAAAGTGATTATTTCCTAAGCTACCAAGTAAAGCACAGCTGCCCTGGCAGTTTTAACTCTGTTTTCTTGTCGATTTTTGTTCTTTCAGGAAACCTTACCGAAACCTCAACCATCTGGAACTCAGAAACTCATTCAGGGCTGACTGCAGTTTCTAGAACATCCAGGTGTTCTGCAGATGTGAGAACTGATCCCACAGTCACCAGATGGAGTCCCAAGTAGATGTAAAACTTGTGCTGTGGTCCTAATATTCCCGAGTGCAGAGGATCACTTGCTGAGTGACCAACAGGTGGTCATTGCACTGATGTCCGATTTTTGCACCCAGCCAATCATCTTGTTAAACTGCAGTGAGAGACATCATCAGAGGACCAAGCCACGTTAGGAGTGGTGAGTTTCCCGAGTCTCTTAGGATTCCAGATGGGGACCTCATTGCTGTAGCCCCTCTGTAGCCACCCATCATCACTGCTGTCACCGGCATACTCTTGCAAACTGTAGCACGCTCCCTGGTGACTTTCTGCGCTGAAGGTGAATAGAGAGGAAACTCTTGGTAGGACGTCTGGTGACGGCTGACTGTCTTCCCTATACCATCATGGGCTGGCTTTTTCTGAAGGTTTTAGTGGTCGGAGTGACTTTCTCTGGATTTTTCTACCCTCTTGTGGACTTTTCTATCAGTGAGAAAACAAGAATACGGAAACCAAATATCGTGATCATTTTGGCTGATGACATGGGATGGGGTGACCTGGGAGCAAACTGGGCAGAAACAAAGGACACCCTCAATCTTGATAAGATGGCTTCTGAAGGAATGAGGTGAGTCTTGAAGATACCAAGCATTCTGTTGACTGTCTCATTCCAGTTCTTGTTGGGGTAGAGGCAGTGAAAAGAAGTTTGAAGAGCAACTGATGGGTCCATGTTGATTCTAATACTTTATTGACTTATTTAATTTGAAGCTAGTGCAGCATCAGGAGAAATCCATCTACCCATACATTATCTATCATCCATCCATCTGTATATCTGCTTATTAATCTATCTATCTATCTATCTATCTATCTATCTATCTATCATCTATCATCTATCTGTCTATTTAATCTATCATCTCCATCCATTCATCCATCCATCTATCTACTCATTTGTCCATCCATTCAGCAATCCATCTATCCTATCCCATCTATCCAACTGTCCATCTACTCACCAATCCACCATCCTTCCATCTATCTATCCATCCATCTGCCCTCCAGTCATCCATATTCATCCATCATCCATCCATCCATCCACCTATCCATCCATCCATCCATTTCATAAGATGTATGTGTGTTGGGAGCTAAGAATTCAGAGGTGAACAAGACAAAAATTTTTGTCCCCAGTTATTTTCTGAGATGGGAGACAAGTTAAAAGGAAAAAAAGATTGAGTCACACCTGTGCTTACATTGGGAGTTTCTGGAGTCCACAGGAGAAGATGTGGAACCCTTGCCTGGTGCTCAAGGGAGGAGACAGCTTGTGAAGAACAAGCAGAGACAACTAGTGTTTAAGGCATACAAGTCTGAGGGCCACAAAAGGGAGAGGGTATACATCTGACAAAGTGTTAATAGGACTTGATAGGATAGCCATTGCAGTTTTTCTCAGATACCTAGCTAGCTCTTTCCCCCACTTAGACGAACAACAACTGTCAGAGCTTGCAGACTCCTTTGGATTTTCTCTTGGGCCAGTGTTGATCCAGTTGGCCAGCAGGGCCATGGTTGGCCAGCATGGGTCCTGTCTGCATTGTGTAAAATGCCTGCATTTGGCTCAGTGGGAATGGCTCCAGCCAGTTGCCCTAGGACAACACATGGGGACATCGTCACAGGGTTTCAACCACGTGCATCCCAGAACTTGCAGCTTTTCCGTTGAGGCAGGCACCCTGGAGAGGGATCCCAACTTCTGGTCTCACCTCCTCCAGCTGTCATCTTCACCATAGCCAAGATGATTTTCTGGAACATTCCACTGCCTCCAATCCTTCAGAGGCATTTTTTTTTTTTTGGCTCCAAGGATAAAACCCAAACTCCATAAAACATCCCACAAACTGTTTTTCTCCTGTGCAGCACCATCTTCCAGATTTTAGTTGTCTCCTCCCTTTGTAGGCCTCATCTCACTCACCTGTGTGGTAAACTTCCTGTGCGCACTGTCCACTTCCTGCTTTTTGGGTTGCTGCTCACCACCGAACCACAGTCTTGGTTTGGATTCCAGCCCACATACTGCCCTGCTCTTGCAGCTTTGCATGGTGATTCTTCACCTGACCACATGCATGGTGTTAAACAGCATCCCCCCTTCCCAAATTCATGTCCACCCACAACCTCAGAGCCTTCACAAATGAGATTAGTTGAGGATCTTGATGATAACACAGTGAGTTTAGGGTAGAAGCTAAATCCAATAACTCGTGTCCTTATAAGAAGAAGAGGGGCCACATGTGCTAGTATGTGACTTTAATCCCAGTACATTGGAGGAGAACTCACTCTTGGGAGTTAAAAGCTAGCCTTGCCTACATAGCCAGTTCCAGGCCAGCCAGGGCTACATATATACCTGTCTCAAAAAGAAAAAAAGAAAGAAAAGGAGGAGGAAGAAGAGGAGGAAGAGGAGCAGCAGCAGTGTTATTAGTAGCAGCAGCGGCTGGGCATGATGGTCATACTTGCAATCCTAGCTCTTGTGAGTCTGAAGCAGGAGAGTCAAGTGTTTGAGGCCAGTCTTGGGTACATAGACCCTGTCTCATAAACCTAAACATGGGGCTGGAGAGATGGCTCAGCAGTTAAGAGCACTGGCTGCTCTTGCAGAGGTCCCAGATTCAAATCCCAGCACCCACATGGTGGCTAACAACCGTTTGTAACTCTAGTTCCAGGGTATCCAATGCCCTCTTCTGACCTCAGGCATTGCACGACACAGGTACACTAACATACATGCGGGCAATACACTCATACATATAACATAAAAATAGTAAATAAAATATTTCAAAACTAAAACCAAAACCAAAACACAACAGCAACAAAAAAGGACACAGAGACGCATACAAAAAAGGTAAGGCCAAGACAGAGACACAGATCAGAGAGATGCGTCTCCACCAAGGACCACTGGCAGGCTCAAGAAGCTTATTGAAGAGAGAGAATAGATTCTCCCTCAGCTTCCAGAAGTACCACCCCTGCGGGCACCTTCATTTCAAACTTTCTGCTTTCTGCACTGTTGTTTCAAGACACCCAGTTGTATTTTGTTACATCAACACCAGAAAATTCAACACGGGTCTCTTCTAGCTCTGGGCTTTAGGAAGAAAAGTGACTTGTCTTCTCCCACATAATGAGCAATTAATATCTGTTTATCAATAAACAAACTTTAGAGCTGGGCATCATGGCTCACCTGTGAACCCAGCACACTGGAAACTGAGGCAGGAGGCTCTCCAGTTTGAGGCTAGCCTAGGCCACAAAGTAAGACCTTGTCTCAGAAAATTAGGTGTGTGGGTAGGAGCTCAAATGGTCTGAAATGTCATCTCCAATTTTGCATGTTAATTTTTAAAAAAATATTTTATTATTTTTTATGTGTGTATTGCCTGCACATGTGGAAGTGCACCCATGTTGTGCAATGCCCATGGACGTCAGAAGAGGGTGTTGGATTCTTTGGAACTGGAGTTACGGACAGTTGTTAGCTGCTATGTGGGTACTGAGATTCGAACCCAAATCCTCTGTATGAGCTGTCAATGCCCTCAACCGCTGAGCCACCTCTCCAGCCCCCATGTTGAATTTTTTTTTTCTGGGGAGACAATCCAGACAGATTGTCCCAAATACCTGGCATGCCAAATGTTTAAGAGCTTTTACTCTGAGAGCACAGTGGATTCTAGAGGAAGCACCAGGATCGCTATCTAAGCTGAGATCTGGGAAGTAGGCCTACTCATTTCCCTCCTCAGCTGCCCCGTTGGCACATCACTCAGAGCAGAAGGGGCCGGGTGCAAGCTTGGTTCCGGGGAGGTCTCCTAGATTCTCTGCGTCAGAGCCTGTGACAGTGGCCAGGTGGACGGCCCTCTGACCTGAGGTTGGTGGCTTTTTATTTTGTGCTTTGTTTACAGGAATGTCAAACTTCCTGTGGGACCACATCCAAAGTTAGCTCCCTGGCTGCCCACTTACTGCTGGTGGAGAACCCTGACTTTCAGACATGAACTCTTTTTTGTGTGTTTGTGTATATACAGGTGCAGGTTCACATCTGTGTGTGTGTGTGTGTGTGTGTGTGTGTGTGTGTGTGCATGTGTGTGTGTGCATGCGTACATGCACGGGTGTGGAGGTCAGAGGACAACTCCAGGTTTCACTCAAGTTCTGTCTGAGTTTCCATTTTTTATTTTTATACATGAGGGGAAACTTCCTGCATGTTAAGGTGTGCAGGTGGAGGTCAGAGGACAACTTGTAAAGAGTCAGTTCTCTCCTTCCACCATTTGGGTCCTGGGGATCAAAGTCAGGTGGTTAGGCTTGGTGGCAAACATCTTTACCCACAGAGCCATCTCTCTGGTCTTTTTTTCTCTTTTGGAGAAATGGTCTCTCATTGACCTAGAGCTCACCGAATAGGCTAGGCTGACTAGCTCGCAAGCCCTGGGGATCTACCCCTTTCCACTAACTCCAGCACTGCGATTTCAAGCGTGCAACACCATGCCTGCCTTCTATTCTTCTTTAAAAACTGTGGATTCTGGGGAAAGCAGACATTTTACCAAGTGAGCGATCTCCTCAGCCCACACACAAGTGTCTGACAGGAGAGAAAGAGAATGCCCAGTGACTGTGAGAGTGGTGGCTGCAGCCAGCCCAGCCCACATACTGCCCTCTCAGATGAATTGCTGTCAGGCCTCTGAGAGCCTGCGGTGGCCACGCTTTTGCCAGTTGGCAGTTTGTTCACTCTGCACCTTGCTTTCACTTCCTCCCTCTTCCCTGCCCCCAGTTTAGTTCTGCATCAAGCCAATGCTGCTGTCACTAGGCGTTCTGGGCAGCAGCTTAGCCAGCCATCAAAGATCAATAGTCACTACTCAAAGGTCAGAGGCTCCTAGGGACTTGAGAACTGTTTCTAAAAAGGGCCTCAGTGAGTAATGAATTGAGCTGTCAATTCAGCCAAACACCTGGTTTTTCTGTCCTCAGAATTTATTGACTACAAGAATTCATCTGTCCTGTTACATCTTGGCTCTCTCTCTCTCTCTCTCTCTCTCTCTCTCTCTCTCTCTCTCTCTCTCTCTCCTGTCAATGATGCTTTTGGGTTTCTATAGTGACCTAAAGGAGGGTGTCAGTCGGGGTGGCACTGACCCTTCAGAGGACTGGTGAGGTCTTGCTGTCTGTTGCACACTGTGGACACATTCTGAATAAGACTGGTGTCAGGAAGAGAAAGGCCTCCCCCACCAGGTAATCCCTCAGATGCAGAGATGGAAGGTCCCTCACTGGGAGAGATCCTCATTTTCCTCTGACCTTTGCCATTGACTCTGAGCTGTTTGCTTTGGTAGTTTCTAGTCTCTCTGTAAGCTGTCAGCATTGCGGGACTGGCAGCTCTCCATCTCTGCGCTTGGGTAAATAGGTCAAATGGACATAAAAGTCATGCCATACCCACAGTTCAACTGGGACAAGATGAAGATAACAAGGAGTACACGCAGGCCTTTACCTCTTGGCTCTGCTTAATAGATGGGGACATGCAGAAACACAGTGACCTAGATGGTAATTAATTTCAGGAGGAAAAAAAAGTGGGGGGGAGCTGAAATATTAACCAGTGAGGCCTTGGTGTCAGCCTGCTTAACCAAGTGCAAGTTCAAGGTAGCCCATCCGATGGTTATT